TTATATTTCTTTGTAGATTCTCTGCCTCCCCAGGAGGAATGTGGACACTCATCAATGGCTCAATTTCAACCATTTCCTTCCACCTCAAAAAGATTCAGTCCAGTCCACTTTGAGCGCTCTGAACCTCGGCAAAGGGAGGCAGATGATGTGGTGAGGAACTGATTTATTACTGAAACTTTTTTTATTTTTTTTACATCAATTGTTTTTATGTCTCTTGTTGTTTTATTTTTTGCCTTTTTGAGTTTGCTTTTGTTTTATTTTTCACATTTCTCAGCAGAACAACCAGGGTATGTTCACTTTAGCCTCATCTGTGTCTTTCAAAGAAACTGCTTTTTTAATTTTTTTTATTTAACTACATTTAATTGAGAAGGTACTCATTAAAAATGCAACAACAAACTCTAATTGTATTAGACACATCAAAACAAATCTGAAAAGTTAGAGCAAAATGAACCTTTTGACTGACTGCTGTGTAAATGGTATGATGAGCATAGTGACGAATGCAGGTGGCAGCATTATGCTGTGGGCCTGTTTAATCTACTGGACACATTGAATAAAGGTGCTGGGTATGTAGGCGGAGCTTGGCTGTCCTGGAACGAAGCTGTGAAAGCCTGAAGATACTTCTGACAGCAAAGGAACACATAAAGACAACATGTGGGCAGAACTGCAATAGAATAGTTTAGATCAAAGCGTATTCATGTATTCTCGAAATGACCCAAAGTCCTAACCATATGTTTGTAAGAACTGCATTAGGACTTTGGTTGATTGTAACTGACTCATTTTTCCAGTCTGATCTCTATATATTAAATATCAAAATATATATTTGTATCAAAATCTCCCCAGTTTAAAGCAAAACTTAGAGCTGGGATTATATGCAAAGGTGGCTTTAGATAGTTTTGTCTCACAGGGCCTTTTTTTTCATTTGAATTAAAACAATACACGGGACATTGCTTAAAATCTCAGTGAAATACATCAAAGTTTATGGTTTTATACAAATTAAAAAGGTTTGAATATTTCTGGGTGCATTGTAATCACACAATAACACAGAGCTTCTTATTTAATATTTACTCTGTCTGCAGGCCTATTGTCTTGTTTCATGTCTGCCTGGTCAGATGGG